CAGATGGCAATTAACTGATCATTTATAATTATAATATGAACTACCAGAACAAGCTCACAAAAGCCAGCAGTACGAAAGAATGTTGGGTGTGTTTAGAATTGATATCAAGCATCTAAAAACACTCCTAGCTATTAAGTGTGAGTCACCGGTTAAAATTATCATCACAAAATGCAGCCAAGGCACTGCGCCTCCTGCGTAACAAAACTGTGAATTTCTTGTTACAGAATGAAAAAACAAAACTGTGAAGAGCGGCTGTGAATCCAGACGAAAGCTCACCTTGACAGCATTTCCACGGATGAATTTCTTTATAGTGGAGAACAGGCCAGTTTCATTCTTCTGCATTTTGCCTCGACCTCTCACGGGGGATGGCTCCACTTCACGGTGTTTCCGTTTGGCAGGGGACGGGTGGGTTCGACGGCCTAAGGGTGGCTGCTGAGGAGCTTTACGCACTCTCAGCTTCATCATGCTCCACCGTCACATAGAAAAATCTGACAACAGAAAAAAAAGGGTTTTAAATATTGCTTTAAAAGTGAGGATAATAACTTTCTCTTAAATATCAAAATGTTTTTTTCCAAATGATCATAAGAACGAAGTTGTTCAACGTAACAGTTTGTCGAACCACAAGCAGCTTTACAAGAACTTTGATCAAAAAGTAGGTAAATAAGATGATGCATCTGACCATATACTTGATTTCAAGCCTTGATATCCTGCCCTATACATTACATTAAAATAATTGTCAGCATAATAAACATTGTTTATGACAATGCTTGTAAAGACATGATGTGACTTTTGTATTCTTGCTAAACTATTGATTATTGAAAATGTGTATTTATTAAAAAAAGAAAAACTACATACAATTTCATGTAATTGATAGAACTAAATATTTGTGTACAATTTAAAAATGACATACAAGTAATACAAATAGGTGTGCTAGATGATACCAAATTATTAAAACTGTTACATAATAATAACTAATATGGAGCAAGTCAGCTGAAGATACTGATAAGACGTAAGATAATGCTTTATTAGTGCTACAGCGGGGGAGTTTGCAGTGTTAGGACAGGAGTACAAATAACAAAACCTAATAAATAAATAAATCAACGGCAAATATTATTTCGTAGATAGACTGAACTGTTGATTTCGGAGGTTTACTATAGTCATATTACCACATCGTATGTTGTAGTGTAGTCATGTAACGGGATTATAAACTAAGTTGAGAGCAGAGGTTGATTTTAGCGACAAATGTCAGTGGAGTGGGCGGTGTAACGCTACCCGATAAACACTGAATCATAAACGGATGCGAGGCCTTCATTATGTTCATATCGAGCTGGGGGTGGTACAAACGCATATTTAGTGGACAGTATATCAGCTTTGTAACCTACTTGTTGCTTTATCAGATAGCATAACAGCATCCCTCACTGTCGTTATGTAACATCAGGCTCTGTTAACGCCAACAACGTCAGTTAGCGCTAACGTTAGCTAGCTGCTGGTTTTTAGCATTACATTCCGGTTTGATTTATAAACCAAAATGCCTTCTATGGTAGGACAAGCCAATGGTTTATTTAGCCACTACTGCCACTTGTCAGCTGAATATATCTGCATCAATCAGAATGTATTTTAAAAATATGCTGTCGGTGGGTATAGGGCTAGTTAACACGGTGAATGTATAAAGAAAACTGAATAGAGGCGGGACCCCGTTCATTCCTATGAGAGTTGCTCAGTGGCGCATGAAGCTCAAAACAGAGCGACTGAAGATTCAGAAAGTACCCGGATCATCCGGGGACTTTTAGTTATAGAGCATGCGCAATTCAGTTTTCCTTAAGCCCCGCCTCATGTCAAATGAATGGAGAGAGAACATTACTCTGTATACGGGGTTCAGCGCTTTAGTAACATTACAACTTGTATCCCCCAGTGATTTAAATACGGGCTATACACGTGTTCGTGCTGGTTAGTTTATTGAGCTTATTCAAATATATATACGCTGAATCAGACACCTTTCTTTCCCAATGTAAATCAATGGGGGAAAGTATTTTTGGGCAAAATTACATCACGGAAGCTGTAGTGCCACCGTTTGGCCACTAAGGCCATTCCTAATTCAGCTTCAACGGCCGGCGCACTTCCTGAGTGCTTGGCTAGCACAAGCAGCTACAGTTAGCTTTCAGGCTAACAAAACGCCAATGGCAGCAAAGCAAGGCCGTGACATTATTCACGACAGTTCCCACAGCACGTCTCACACTTGTCGCCGTAAACATGTGTGTCGTTCACATACAAAATGCCCTTTAATTCATCGGTTAAATAAAGCCATTTATCACATAGCTAAGCTCTAGCTAACGCGTCCATAATTATTATTTTCAGCCTTTAGACTACGCCCCCTTCGCGGGCTAAAGCTAGCCGCTAGCAGTCAGGCTATCAGGGACAAACCTTTTTGTTTACATGTTGACGTTGTTGTTTACTTACAGATGATCGAGGAAGCTCTTCAAAACTTGCCGCAGTGTTGGCAGCTATCGGCCGCGACCGTGGCGGGCCACCGGTAGAGGTCGGGCCGTGTTGTTGCTGCCAGCGGTGTCTGTCGCTCGGTATTCACAGACCAAACATGTCTGCGGACGCCATTTCCCGCCTCATCACAAACATAACGCTGGTGGTGCGCAGCGGAATGCGACACACACGTAACGGGGAACCAACGTGGCGGAGAGCGGAGTCAACAGAAGAAAAATGGTTGTGTGTGCAGCTGGACCGAGGCTCACTACCTAACTTTATCCCTGCCGGTGCTTCTGTGCGACTACAAGTAGATGTGAAGAATGCGTTAAGAATGCGTTAAGTGTCATTGAGATTAAAAACGCTTTTAAGAGTGACTCGGGCTGCCATGGTTGAAATAGACACATGTGAATTACAGATGCATACTACAGTTAAAGGATCTTAATATCCTGTTAATATGCTCCGTTATAATGCACTATCAGGTAGCCTATCTTATTTTTTTACGATTTCAGTGTATTTTTAAGAGTAATCACATTCTCACGATCCTTTCAAATTGACTAATTTCAGCCATGACAATTGTAGGTACTTCTGTACATTATTCCATGTAGGGGCCACATAGGACCAGAGTTATGTTTGTTCTTTTACCTTAAGGAGTTCCTAAAGTTTTCATTATTTAAAATACCTTTTTTTCATCTATTGTTTCAACAACATCTAATTGTTTAGTAAATTGGCAAAACTTGAAAATCACATAATGTAGCCTACTAATGCTACAACACCTATCAGAATAAACATGTCTGCATGTACAGCACATTTAGCACTGTCTACCTTACATTTGAATATGACAGAGATGATTGTGAAAGATTGTTTCTTTACCTATAAAGTATATGGTCCTAAGCGCTTAAGTGATAATATTAATCAGGGACTCAAGAATAGTAGACACTACTATCACACTAAAACTACTGTAAGTCAAATAAAACATTCAATATTTCATGCACATTATTTAGATGAAAAATAACAAAGACAACAGGGTAGGAATTTTACTAACGAAATATTTACAATTTGTTTTAATTATTTGTTCTGTTATAGCAATTAAAGTGGGTTTATACGTATACACATTCATTTGAATGATTATAGATGAACAAATCCTAATACAATAATGAAGTTAGCACTGACTGTATAACCACCAACTGGATTACAACTTATTTAAGCACTCGCATAATCATTTACAATATTTTTCTGACATGTGTAAGAAAAGCACTTGTGGTCATTTTCATGGCCATTCCCCAAGAAAAAAAATCCCTCATGGTGGAAGCACAAAAAACGAACTAAATATAGAACCGCACACACTGGCAACAAACCTGAAGACTGTATGAAATGGAAAAATGGCTACACTACAAACACAATAACAGACTTTCACCAATACACACACATTTTTTTCCCAGCAATCTTTGTTCAACAATCCATGATGTGAGATTTGATTACTGTCAACACAACAGTCCTTATAACGGGTCAACAATGATTGCAGCTGTAGAGTTGAGTATACCTCCAATATCGTGAAAAAAAAAAAATGATCATGCAATTTTACCAAAATGTCAGCATTTTTAGTTTTCAATATACACAATGGGATCATTTCAAGGGTCAGTTTCTTGGCTCTAGGTAGGCAACATTAACTTATATACCCTGCAGCAAGAGGTTAGATGACTTTCAAAGAGCCTGGCTATACCTATTCGGCTTTGGGACTTATGTGAAACCTACTGGCTTATAAAATACACTGGTACACCTAGGTGGCAAATACAAAAATAACTCTAAAAACCTTTGCTTTAGGCTCCAATATAAAAATGTCATTGTTGGTCAGATAATGGAGATAATGTGCTACTTCTTTCCCTAAAAGTGGAAATGTAAGCATCAACTTGCAAATGGATGGTATCATTTCATCCCGAGATGAAGGATTTTCCTGTATGGTGCTGGTCCACCCCACAGGCCCCTGACATAAGAGAAATAAATAAAAAGAATAACATTTGGTATGATTCATACTAACAACTATTACAATTTTGTTAATCAACTTTATACATACCGTAGTAGCCCGTGCCAGTAGAGGTGAGGCATCACATCAGCTTTCATGTGGTACATGATTCTGCTCTCTTTGGCTTGGTTCACAGGGAATGTTTCCAGTGGTTGTCCGTTGTAATCAAACTCTGCCAGAATCACTGTGTTGTAGCTTGTGACCAATGGGCACGAGGTGTAGCCATCATACTGTAAACAAGGAGACCAATGTTTATGTATTTGCAGATTTTTACAACAGAAGTACTTCAGAGAAGTTAGACCATGTTTCAAATCAAAAAGAAAGTAGGTTTTACCGTTCTGTCTGGCTTCTCATTTTTCAGTACTCGGCTGATGGTTCTGTTCAAAATAGCAGACTGTGCAGCTGCATATTTGAAAACAAGGGTAAGCTTTTATTTTTATGTATTCTCTTATTAGGAATTGAAAAGACTAACATGTTTTCCAAATTCATCCTACACATACATTCTGTTCCATCCATCCATCCATGCATGCTAATAATCCACTTGCATGTGGGGTTAATTATAGTGGGCCCAGAATAAGGACAAGGAAACTTAACATCAGCCTAGCATAGCACAAATATCTGGGCCTCCCACATGTTCTCTTTGTTGAGCCTTCATGAAGTGTCAGGTGTGTTCAAAACTTGCCATGTAATCGTGAGTTGCAATGTAAATATTTTATGTGAATTGGACCAGGTAGAATAGCAAGTGATGCGCAATTTATGGCGCCATCAGCTGCTGCAATCGTTTTTGTGAATTCACCCTGGAATGTAAACATGGTGGGCATGGTTAGACTAAGGCGCCGTTTACACGAGGAGAAAACTGCTTGTATCTGCATAGTTTCGCGTGCGTATAGCCCTATTATTTACACGAGGCCGATAGAAACTGACCCCACAAACGATAACGGGTCCCAAGGTGGATAGATTTGCAAACGAAACGCTCTGGGGGGTCAACCGAGTCTGTAATCACCTCTATACGAATATTTCCTGAAAAAAATAGCGATAGCCCCACCTCTCCTGCTCACTGCTGTAGCAACTATCAAAAATAGCTGTGTTAATTAAACGCACAAGGGGTTCTTGAATGAAATAATATTATAAAAGGCAAACCAGAATTGTTAACGCCCAATATACTCCTTAAACAAAATAAACAGAGTCAGATTTCATGCATTGATCCATTATATTGACAAAGGAGCGATCTCAGCGGTGTTTGTAGAGAATATCTCTCTTTCTGAGCGTGTCCTCTCCACAGAGACGTGCTTCTTGGTCGGTCGATGCAATATCCACAGATTCGGTTTCTTTCAGTTAACTTCCCCGTTGCATTTATCCATATGCTGAGGAAATTACTATATCCCGCTGAATACCAGCAATCGCCACACACACTTCCTCCTGTCAGTAGCTACTGCTACTGCTACTGACCATGCTACAGATATTAGTGCAAAATCTACAGCTCCTCTACCACAACCATCAGCAACAAGTGGACATGGAGAATTACATGAACTACATGTTGCTAAATACACCGCGGGGCTTAAACAGAAGGGTAGCCATGGCAACATTGCTGCGGGGCTGCTCTTCTTCGCTGCTTTTGGTGTATTTTGGCGGAAGTTACAGCGCCACTTACAGTCCCGGCATATGTACTACAGCGTTTCCAGCGGCCTCGTTTGAACAGACACGTTAAATGAAACGAATGCATGTGAACGGAAGACTTTTTTTGAATACGCATACTGTGCATAAACGCAAACGTTCCCGTGTGAAGGAGGCCTAATTCTTTACTCTAGTCATGTTGAAGTTGTACAGGACGTGATAAGGAATGTTTTACAACCCCAATGTCATTATCAGTGATCTAAAGTTGCCAAGAACTTCCCATCATTTAATCCACAGTTACCAGACAGGAACTGGCATAAACACAGACAGTTTCAGCTAGCAAGGATCCAAGGGTTAAACTTTACTATGTATTTGTATCATGTGCAAAACATTTATTTGGAAAATGTAATAGTAAAAGTGAGCTAAAGCACAGAGGTGAACTGAGATAATGATACAATCCAGCAGATACTGAGAAGTGTCCCTTCACTACAAGCTTTTTAGGGTGTGGTTTACGTTTCTATAGTCGCCAGTAAATACAATAGGCAATTGTGCAATACACTAACTGAAAGTCCCTCTCAAATTACAAAAAACACAAGCAGTTAAAAAGGGATATGACTGCATGAATTGTAAGCCGATATTAAGTGAATTCTAGAGTTGCGTTAATGCAATGTTGAACTAATGACACAATAATCACTCACCGACAGCAGCTCCTGTTTTGGCTGTGGGCAGGTTTGTACAGTCTCCAATCCCAAACACATTTGGATATCTCTTATGTTGAAGGTTATCTTTGCTGACATCCAACCAGCCAACTTCATCTGCCAGCTGACTGCCTTTAACCACCAGATTGGGTCCCATTGGTGGTGTGACATGAAGCATTTCATACTAATACAGAAAATCAACACAGTTTTAAGAGTTATTCACTGGAGTCTCTTTTCCCACAAAAATGAAGAGGAAGGAAAAGCTTCTGTTGAGGTACAGTGATAGTTACCTGAAACACTTTGGTTTCGCCTGGTTTGTCAAGATTTTCAAACACAGCTTCTTGCTTATCTGCCCTCACTTCGATCAGGTTTTGCCTCATATTAATTTGTAGGTCACGCTGTTTCACAATTTCCCACAATGAGTCAGCATATTTCTTGATCCCAAAGAGCACAGGGAGCGACGTGTTGTATATGATGTTGGCCTTTGCTCTTTTACCCGTCTTGGAAAGAAACAAAAACATTTCTTCATTTAATTTTGAGAACCAAACATGATAGTTTCAAAATGTACAACATTATCATTACATTCTGACATACCTTTCTGAGATAGGCATCTGTAAGATACATGATCTTCTGTGGGGCTCCTGCACATTTCACAGGAGTGTTTGGGAAAGTGAACACAGCGTTTCCCTCTTTGAAGTCCTGCAGAGCTTTCCAAGTTTTCCCCACAGTTTCGACTGAGTAGTTTGATCCAATCTTTGGGTGATCAAATCCTTCTGGCAGTCCTTTGATCTAAATATAAGAAGAGAATGCTGAAATGTTTTTTTTAGGTATTTTTTTAGACCTCAATGATTAATAGATTATCAAAAAACTGGCTGAGATTTTTCTGGCAGTCAACAAATCAATTAGGCGACTAATGAATGTTAATCTAATTTATATAAAAGGGCATAAGTTTACTATAAATGAACAAAGGGATACTTCACCTTCTCAAAATGGAGTTGTAAGCCAAGCGCCACAATCAAATACTCATAAGAGATCTGAAATGTGAAATAAAGTCTATGTAAGGTTAGATGCACATCAATAATCTTTATTTTGCACAGTATTAAGCAATTATATTTTTATATTACACTATTTTATTATATATAAATAAAAGCAAACATACTTCAGTCCCATCGTCTGTGAGGACAGTATTTTTGTCTGGATTTATTTCCTGAACTTTAGATTTCACCCACTTCACACCAGACGGCATAACACTCGCAGTGGACCGACCTGATGAGGTCAACGTTTTTGCACCAGCACCAACCAGGGTCCATATAGGCTGATAGTAGTGCATCTGGAAAAAGAGAAAGGTACTTAGACAATCATGAGTTTACAGCTGAATTAATGGAAGCCACTACACCACATGATCTGTAGAATTATCTTTTAGTGATACATAAAGAGAGGTGAGGCTAATACAAATTCTATTAGTACAGGATCCTTGCCTCACTGGGCTCCACAACAGCCACATTTCCAGCTCCAAACATCCTCTTCATTCGTGCACTCATTGAAATGCCTCCACTTCCTCCTCCGAGCACAAGCATTTTGTAATGCTGTTTAGCAGAAGCATGGCTGCTTGTGTGAAATTGGGAGAGAGCAGTGCCTGTGGGGTGGCACTGCCTCAGACGACGCAGTGCAGCCATTATGTCTCTGAAAGAACAACAAGTCATTTTAGTTGGCAACAATTCAGTTATGCTATGTGTAACTCAAACAAACTGTATCTTTTAACAACCCGCACTTCACATTTGGGTGGTTCAGGACAAGACATAAAACATAAAAACATAAACAATACTTGTTATAAGAGTAATTAGAAGTACAGTTAATAATCCAATTGAGGTTGGTTGGGGAGCACATTTTAGATATCTTTAATATTGAATGTTCTGACATACAGTAATGACAAAAATGTGATTAGATAAGACTGTAACTGAACCACTCATAGACATACTGTAGCTAATCTTAAAAGGGACCATCCCAGCTATTAGCTTGACAAAACACACAGACACACAACAGAAAATCAGCAGCAGCAAACTACGCAGCACGTCTTTAAGATGATTTGACACATTTTAGTGTAAAAGTTATACAGCAAATTGAACACCTGGTTTCATTAGATATTCTGACTTTGACATAATACGTACTTTCCAGTCTATGCCTTGGTTTACCAGAAGGCAGAAACCCTTATAAAAGTAGAAAAAGTAACTGGTGTGGGTTGCATTAATTTGGGGTGCTGTCTTTAGTGAAGCCTAACCTGAGTTTAAGCGTTGCTGCATGCTGCGTAATCATTGGGTCAGTACTGTAACGTCGAAAAATACAACTCTTTCAAGAGACTTGCCTTTAACAGCAGCACCACTGTTCCCCGACCGTTTAGTCCTCTGTCTGACCGTCAATTCTGGACAAAATCCGGGAGAATTAAGTCCTTAGACCTTTCTCAGCTCTGCAAATAAGGCAGGATTTACTCAACCTGTATGAAGCTACCCGACGTGAACTCTCCGTCGACTCTCAGTTAAAATACAGAATATTTGTCCCACCCCCTCAACCGTTCGTCCAATCAGAAGTGATCTTCAGGAACTGACAGTTTAGTGGTGCAATGTAATGCCTGGAAGTATTTTTGTAATACCTGGCTATAAGAAATAGGGGAAAGCATTTCACCTCTACTACTGGTTCCATTTAAAATAATCTGTTATTAATTGTCTTTGATTTATACACCTCACTATTATTTCCATTGTGAATCAGTATATCTGACATCACTCACAGACTAGTGTTGCGTCATATACTGCACTTATCTTTGTCCTTAACCCACCTGAAATATGGAAACGTGTTGTTTCCAGGGAACATCTTACATTAAGTTTGTATCCACAACAAAACGGATTTGGCTGACCTTTGATTGCAATGTGATATTCACTGATCATAATGCCTCTCTGTTTGTTACAGATTATTATTTCACAATGTAGCTGTAATTTACAAGCAATTATCACATATAATACCAGGACATTGAGAGAGTGAATTTCAACAATGAAACATTTATATGAACTTACATTTGAAATATGTCATTCTGTAATAATGAGTAGTACTCTTTGCACTTCAAGTATATTTGATCCTATTACTTTAAATAAACATTTTGAAAGCAGAGGATATTGAAAAACAAAATATTTGGTACAAGGTCTGAGTACTTCTCCACCTCTGAGCTTTACTGAAGAGCCGCTTAATCATACTAAAGGTATTACATAGAGGTTAGATGTATGTGTACATACTTTTTAATTACTACAAAGGCTTTTATACTTTAATGATGTATGTATTATTGTTATGGGACTGAACATGGAGCATAAGGGCACATAAAGACAAACACATAGGTCACCTGTTAATTATATTACGTTACACAGCAGCACAACCTACAGCATCCAAAACGATTACTAAGGTTAATAAACATGTATTAGGCAACATTGGTTTTGGACCTAAAATAAACTAGATTGAGAAGTTTTCAAACAAAACAATGACTTATCATCAATAATCAAATGAAAAATATACTAGTGCATTAACATGTAGGCTACTTTAATGAGTCTTGTCGTCATTATGAGCTGCAGTACAACATCATTTATTTGTTGATTATATAACAAATCTGAATCTGCAAGGTTATCAAAAACATTTTGGAGTTAAGAGTAGGCATTAAGTGCACACACACTCACACACAAGCGTGCACACACACACACACACACACACACACACACACACACACACACACACACACACACACACACACACACACACACACACACACACACACACACACACACACACACACACACACACACACAGAAAAATACAAACACACACCCCCCCCGGTGCAGACTCCAGTCTCAGCTTCATCTCATCTCTCTCGGGTTGTGATCATCAGTTGGGTGATTTTCCTCTTTGTCCACATTTCTCTCTGAATATTGTGACTGCTTGTTGCTTGCCTGCAGCCATTTTCCCATCAATACACGTTCAGCTGTTTTTTTCTTCTTCGCAGATGAACAGGCTTTGTTTGGTATTTACACGACTGCATCCATGTCTGGTGATGTTTTATTCAGGAGGAGGATAAAAAGTGTTTACTGCGGATACATCTGCTAAATGTGGAGCTTGAAATAAACGGATACATGGAGACACAACAAGAATGCGCCTGTGACAAACTTGTGCGAGGTAAGAAACCATGTTTTATTTCACACTAACACATTATTTTGAAAAACAAGTAACTCTACACCTTGTTGCTTTGTGTTTCCTCACCTGGGAGCTTTGCTAAGGCAACACAGTTCACTGGGGAGTCACCTGCTGCTACCCACACTGATAGTTTAATTAAAGTTGCTTATCTGAACAGAAAAGAGACAAGGCTGCAGTCTGCTTTGGGTGTTGCCTTAGATCTTATACCAATGTACAATAAAAAAATCCATAAAAAATGAGACATGCCAATTAAGTGAATGAATGCATTATCTGCAAAACTACAACATAAAAAAAGAATTTTGAGTATTATAGGATACTATTATGTTGGATTATTGGATTATCATTTCTGATGCATTCAGGTGTAAGTATCAGTTGTATAGGCAGTTATATTAGTGACTAGTAACTAAAGCTGTCAAAAAAATTAGAAGCTTAAAGGTTAAAATATGTTTAGTTTAAATAATCAAAAGTACTCATTACGTAGAATGAATATGCCATTGGATAATAACCTATGCAAAAATGTAATTATCGCTTTATATTGCATCTGGGAAAGGTTTTAATGAAATGTTTCATCAATAACGTCTTAGCTAACATATGATAATACAGCTAATTGATTAGATCTTGTATTTAACAATCTAAATACACATTTACTAGTGACTAAAGCAGTCAAATGAATAAAGTGGCCTAAACAACATCTGCCTGTAAAGTGTAGCGGAGTAAAAGTATACAGAAAATGAAAAGTGAAGTACTTGAGTAAATGTATTTATTAGTTACATCCCATTTCTGATTTCTTCACATGTCTTGTAGGGAAACCCCTAGAAGGGCCCCGGAGAAAATGGCCTTTTGGAGGAGAAAAACTCACATAGGTAACTATTTTACAATTTAATTATTTGTTTTTGTGTGAAGTGTGGTTGTGGTAAAGAATTATGGTATTTGTGATATATTTCAAAAGCTACAGTCATACGTCTCCTCGGTCTTCTCTCAGGTGGGTTTACAGTCTCTCTACATCCTGTCCTGGTGTAGTACACTGGTTTAGGAAAAAGTTAGATTAAAGGTGGGGTAGGTAATTTTGGAGAAACCAGCTCGAGTGCGCTAGAATTTGAAAATACACAACCGGAAAAAATCTGCCACTTCCTTACAGAGCCCCTCCTCCAACACACACGAACGCGCACATGACCAATGAGGGCACGAGATAAGTTTGTGCAGATGGAAGGCTGACAGGCAGGTAGGCCATCCAGTTATTTTAGCCGGGCCGGCTAAAATGATTGGTTGTGCTTTTTACAGCGCTACGGCTTCCACAGATGACATTTTTTTAATATATTTATTGTCAAAGCATTTAATATATTCATTGCTATCGGGATGTTAAGAGCATTCCATGGAATATAACAAAAAGTGTTTCTGAAATAAATTACATACCCCACCTTTAACATGAGCTAGTCTCTCTCTCTGAGCATTGTTGCTTTCTGTGTCTTTTGTGTGCAGGACAGGTATTTGTTATTTGAAGCATGCTGTTATTATCAGTGTCTGCGTCAGACAGAGATTGAGGTGGCCTGTTATGACATGCAGAGACAGGCTCCGAAATGTCAATTTTTGAATAGAATTCAAGCTAATTTAAATATAGATTTTCTATTTCTTTACAATCAATAAAAGGGAACATAAAGAATGCTTATTTTGTTGTCATCTTCTGGGGAAAAAAACATAATTTTCCCACAGTGATTTATCATCTAAAAGTGTTATGTATGGATGTTACTAGACTCAGAGGAAAAGGGTATGGCATTATAAATGGCTTTCATTTCATGTTAGCTTCTACACTTAAATTATTGCAGACAGATGTAAAAACCTCCCTCAGAAATCAATTATTTTTACAAAAATGCTTTATAAGAAAAACAAAATATAGCATTTACACTTAATATAATTACATTTTTAAGCAGACCAAAGCTTTTCTTACTCAATAATTGTCTTTGTAACTGATAGCAGGACGAGGCCAGCCTGTTGTGTGAGAAGGTGTTTCCTGTTGCAGCTCTGTGCACGGGCATTATGCATAATTCAACAAAGACTTAACCTTGTTAGCAAACAAAAGATCGAGCAGTGTGCTTCTCAGACATGTCTCTGTGTTTAAAGTTTAAGATGCTGTGAAAAATATTTTTGTCATGTTGAAGATTATTTACTGTATTGTTTCTCAGTGAATATATTTTCAGTTTAGACGGTTTAAAAAGCATGACTAAGAATGATAATGAGCCTTGTTGCATTACCTTGACGTGTGAGCCATGAGATGAATGTCAGAGCGTGTAATTACAGATAACATCTTCAATTCATGTAGAAAAAGGCTAGGCTCAGACAAAGTCCACATGTGACAGACACTCCTAGTTGTATTATTGAATCCTTCAATCGGACTCACACAAAAAGGGGCTCAAGTTTCATAACCACATTCAAGTCTAATGTTGGATTGGAAAAGGCGAACCCATCATAATAATTCTATAAGATAGCGTATGGCGTATGATACTGTAAAAATAAAAGGTTATGGCCAGAAGGATTTGTGAGTCTTAGTGACAGACAAATAAACTAGAGGAATAGCTTTATGTATCCATAGTGAAGCTGGACCAAACTCTGAGACAATTGCCATTAAAAGTTATGGGTAAGTTATGGGTAATTATGTCACGTTAACAACTGCCAATAAATTGTATCAAATATGTTTTAAATTGATTGGTAATGTCTAAAACATACTTATGCATTTAAGCAAAGTTAAAGCAATTCTCTTTTGTAAGGAACCTATCTGATATCTTGCATAGAATAAACTGAAAACATTGACGCCAGTATTATGTCTGTCCGGTAAATGTTGGAAGACAGCCAGGAGACGTAAGCTTAGCATAAAGATTGGAAACGGAGGGGGAACAGCTAGCCTAGTACTGTCCAACAAAACGAGTGTAATTTAAGATTCATCACTAATAACAGTCAAAAAGACCTCAAAGGCAATACAATTGGTAATAACAAGGCAGATGGCATGAACAATCGAAAAAATCAAAGGCCTACTGAAAAGGAAATTGGAAATGGGTTTGCAGCATAGACCGTAGGCCTATGTACGGTTTCCAGGTGGGTGTGGAGGTCAGGTGATACATAGGAATACATTGAGCACTCACAAAGGACAGAAAGGGCATGGCAGGAGCTGAAATTACAAGATGCAGTTTACAAGGACAACCTTAAAACTGATTGTACTGATGAATTCAAAATGTCTCTGCCACTTTTACAGTATGTAGATGTATTTGTACTGACCATGTGTTCTCTCTATGTAGAGGAGGAACGCCACGTGAAGGCCAACGC